ACAACTACAATAAAAGTTGATAAGAATTGCGAAACAGAAAATGGAATTTAAATATTAACCAAAATTACAATAAATGGTCTAGTTTTTACTTTTAATAACATGTGCAGTGACTCCTCTTATACTTGTAAGAAGCTTAAAATATAAATATAAATAGGTGTTTCAATCCGACTTGAAAACCGCTCATCCTGCATGTTACATTAAACACCATTGTCATATGAATTCTGATACATGATCAAGGCATTGTAAGCAATATTTTCTTTCTTGTTAGTATTCGCATCGCATAGCCGCATAGGTTAGATATATCATACGGCGCTCATGTTGTAAGAAAAGCGTCACATTTTAATGATATCGGTTAACTTGAGGAACATGAGTAATTGAAGAAATGAATAATTACAAGTTTTGCTTAAATGAATAAAAATCATCAAAGTGCAAATTAAATTAACTAAAATGGCGAACGCAGATGCACATCGATCAACAAAATAAAACGTTTGCTAATTCAACGAAAGCAACTAATTAAAATGAAAAAGAAAAATAAACCTTCACGTTAAACAAAAGCAACTAATTCATCATTTATAGCAGCTAATTATTCAAGGAAGATGTTTGTTAATGACCAAATCCAGGTGACGGTGGAGATGGAGTGAGATTATAACCAGGAGATCCTGGATTTACGTTAGCCCCCGCGTCTTCATAATCCAAATCAATCACATCCCTTGATCTTCTCCCCTACAAACAAAATCCAAATAATAATTATTGTAACCATAACAATGACAAAAAAATGGACAACAGTTATCATATAAACATCATTGCTATTTTCTAATTTACCTACTTACCGACAATCCCCATTTTTTATTAATTTCAAATTTAAAAAGTGCAACTGATATATTTCGCAATTTCGATGAGCACAGAATAACTCTAGATCTATTTTTTCAAGTGATAACAAAAAGGTAGAAACCTGGTCAGAAGCATGAACAGTTTTCCCCACCAGTCTCCCTTCACAACCTACAACATTAAAACAATTACAGTGACGTGAGGATAAAATTCGTAGAATATGGAATTAAAACAATTAATAGGAAATAAATATACCAGTATAATTGGAAGAAAGGATCAGAAGAACAGTGAAGAGAAGAAGCGCAGTAAAATGAGATCTGGCGGCCATGTTTTTGCTTCCTTGAATATTTTTTTTTTTTTTTAAATGGATTTTAAGGTCAGTTGGGATTTGATATATAAGAAAAAGGGAGAGTATCAGATCCGATGAATAAACGTACGTGAGGTAATTAATGATATATCGAGATATAAATGGCTTTTCCTATGCCCACACGCGCACGCCCACGTGCGCACTTCTAAATCCCTTTTGATTGAGAGAAAATGCTATACCTACATAACTAGTACGGAACCCGTGCGATGCACGAGCTGTGTTTGTTTTAGTATATTATAAATTAAAGTGTATTAATAAATAAAATAGTGAAATATTATAAATTGAAATGTATTAATGAATAAAAGAGAGATAATACTTAGGCAAGTTGTCGAATAATAAAAATATTTCTCAAGTAAGTTATTAAAAACTTATTTGTACACAACATTATTAGTTTGAGTACTGGATAACCTGTCGTCCTACAAACTAATATTTTCAAGACATTTCTATTACTTACACACGAAATAACAACATATAATTGATCATGACTAAAAATGAACTTTCTTTATCATCATGCATACAAAACTATAAGTAGGAACTGGTGCTGCTGGAACTTAAATGGAAGCATAAGATCAAAAGGATTTACTTAATATAGCTGATGGGGTTAAATATTCTAAATGTGGACAATTTACTGAAAATCTTATGGTGGCAAGGATAAAAATCGCACATTTTACTTAAATAAAGCACCTATTTAATTTACATAATGAATTTCTATGAAAAATAAGCAATAAATAAAGCACCGCATGCCGATATCGGCCAAACACACCATCTCCAACAACACCGTCACCAAAGTCTTCTGCTGGCAATCGTTTGCCTCCGAGCAACAACATTCTCCGGCCAAAAGTACGACCTGTAGAACCAATCCGGTCGTCTGCCAAACACTTTGTGCATCTCGTCGTCCGGATAAAAACCGCCGGTAGCACATGGTCCAAACAACCACCTTGCCTATTTCTTAAAATTCTGAATATTAGTTGTAGTCGAGGAAATAAATAAGAGATACATGTGTTGAGGACATGGCCTTGTGTTTCCGAATGCAGATGGGTCCTGCCCATGCACAAATCACTCTAGCTAAGGAAAATAAAAGAAAAATGACAAAAATAAAAGATAAAAACGACACACTGCAACTTCTTGCAAAATATAGATGGACTTTTGTTATATATGACTTTTTTATAATGACCATTAAAAATATAGAATTTTTAGTTAGATAAATGAGGACAAAATATATTTAAGTAGTTGTGTATTTTTTGTTAGAACCCGAAAATTGACAAGTTTTACCTATTATAAAGATTTCACAAAATATTGAATTTTCGAAAAGTTCGTTGAGATTGTTGGGTTAGATAAATATGGTCATGTTTAGTAGTATTTTTGGGCATGTGGTAACCGAGCTACCCGACTCGGGTCGTTCTCAGAGGAAGGATGTTTGAAACTTCGTTCACTACCTAGTCGTCAAAGTCACATAACCAAAAACAAGGTCCTACACATCCTACTCGCTTGATTGAGTATGATTGCACGAAATTAAACTAAGAATCTGAGAGCAAATGATGAAAAATACAAGAATCGAAGGAAATGTCAAAGCATTGGTTGCACGGAATCTCCATAACTCAAGAAAATAAAAGAAAACAAGAGAAAACATGCTAGCATAGTGATCCTAGGTAATCTAACACGAGCTTTCTACACTAGATCATTACGCTTTGAATAAAGTCGAGATCTCTACACAAGATAAGCACATATAGATTCCTAACACACGTAAGGAAGCAATAAAAATAAAGCAAAACCCTAGAAACGAGCATACACATAATTCGACAACACAAACTCGAAGTAGAAGGGCCTAAGCAAGGTACCTACTCTCCTATCGCATGTTTGAACGAAAATAGTGAATAAAGCTCGAAACTTGGATGAAAATAAACTTGCCGGAATTTCGCCGGAAAAATAGAGTTATGGACCTCCCAAACAAAGCATAAAAAAGAAAAGAGAGAAAATGGAGAGATAGAGATGTTAAACTGGCTAGCCCTAGCGGTTTCGGGCTAAACGGTCCCGGCCTAAAAACCCGGATTTAAACGGGCTACCAAAAAAAGGACCTAACCCTAACCCTAGTGGGCTTCGGACTATGCAGGCTATAATAATAATAATAATAATAATAATAATAATAATAATAATAATAATAATAATAATAATAATAATATATAAAAAAAATAAAAATAAAAAGAGTAAAAGAAAAATAATAACAACGGCTAGTTAACAATTGTTTTCAACGACTATTTACTATTTGTCGTCTATCACTATGTTTCATGTGTTTCCTATTAGTCCTTCTGATTGGCTTAAATATTTTTGTATTTCATACAATAACAAAATTGTCAATAATTATCTTCCAAAATCATAATAATCCATTACAACTCATACTTACATGTGAAGTGGAATAGCAAAATTGTAATATACAAGAAATCTAAGAGCATATTACTTACTTAATGCAAACATTTACACCACCAAACTCTAGTTAAACAGGCCAGCCCTAGCGGGCTTCGGGCTAAACGGTCCGGGCCTAAAAAGCTTTGATTTAAACGGGCTACTAATAAAAGGACTTAACCCTGTTTTTTTTCGGGCTAAACGGGCCAGCCCGTCGGGCCAAGGACCATTTAACATCTCTATGGAGAGGATTTCCCAACTTTAAAGTTGAGAAATGAGGGGTGATGTCCAAAATTAAAAAGCACAATGTCTATTTATAGCTATACCACAAACACACACTAAAACACACACATTTAATGATAAAAACTCGCGAGGTAGGCTGAACTCGCGAGGAGAATCATCATTTTCGCGGGTGCAAGTCTTGAAGGCTGAAGGTGGTCTACGGCTCGCGAAATGGGAAGCTTCTCAAGGCTCGCGGGCGCGAGTTCTCGAGTGTGAACAGGCTAGGCTCTCGAAATTTTGTTTCGGTGACTATGGCTTGACTTTCAAAGCTTCTAATTTATTGCACGGACCTCCCATTGACTCGAAACATCGACTCACGCTCCTCAAATTTTTCCTTCTTCGACATGGAAGGCACACAAAATTCCACCGAATATTTTCATGAATGGACATTCGAGACGGCACATCACGAAATGACTATCTCTTCCTTTCGGATCTACAAAAACACCAGAACGCACGAAAGAGATAGGAAAATATACGAACACGACTCAACAACTAAAAACGAAAAAAAATGGACCGGGACACACAAACCAAACCTAAAAAGATTCGACTCAAGCAAATAAAACACATGAAAAACACACAAAAACATAACAAACAAGTCACAACTAATTACCTATTTTAATGTCCTGACTTTGAGATTGATGGATTGGACTTTTACATAATTTATTTAAAATTCGAAAAACAGTAGGGTAAATGATTTTATTTTTATAAAGTACCAATAATAGTAAAAATGAAAATTTTTACACGATTTTAGTTTCTTTTTTACCATATTCATAAAAAAGTCTTGAAGCATTCGACCATCACCATCTAGACATTGCTCGGATTGTACTCAAACTCCAGATATGTCTCAGATACTATAAACTCTTTCTTCTTTTTGACTCGAATTTAGAATTTTCGAGTTAATTCTCTCAAAATGCTTACAAAAATCATATCCTCATGACTCTAAAAATCCAAAAGGGCACTATATATTTTATAAGTACCATTATCGATACAAAATCAACATGAGAAGTTACAGAAAAGATACCTCTGAAGGCATCACCAGGTAGACCAGTAATCTCCTCAAGCATCCTCGTTGTTGGGTATCTGCTCATCCAAGGCCCGCTTGAAGCGCCGTTAATCTTTTTAGTTAACGTGCAGTCCGGTAGAGCCCAAACAGCTCCTGGTCAGTCCCGGGCTGACCCCACTCAGTTCCGAACAACAGCCAATGAGTCATGGAAGCAGCTGCTACAGGCTCAAATAGAAATAGCAGCAAAGGGGCAGATTTTCAGCAATCAAATAAACTAATCACCATCACCATGGCATCACTTTAAGTGTGTATAATGCAGCCACAAACAAAAAACTAAAAGTGATTAATAAACATAAATTATAATTAATCAAGAGAGGATGAGATTGAGAACGACTACAACCTTTTACGTAGACGAATTCGAAACCCACACGTGAAGTGTTAATTACACAGGCTCAGGCCCCGTATAATTATACCCACAAGAATCACAAAGAATCTAGCTCCGGGCCATGGCCATTAGAACCACCGGCACCCGAATTTCGTTAGCACACGCCTCATACAAAGGAAACCCCGAAATACTCTCACATGGATACGTACCAAATGTTTTATGCTCTCAATCTCTCTGTTTTTATTTCATACCCTCACACTCACAAAGCACACACAACACTCTGGTTTTTCCACTCACTCACAGTGCACTCACTCTCGAAAAACATGCACTTGATTTATTTGCTTTTCTCACACATACTTAGCACTCACCAAGAGCACTCACATATTTCTCTCCTCAACTCACAGAGCACACGGATATATTTTTTCTATCCCCTCAGCACACACTGTTTCCCTCTGTTCTTCTTTTTCCATACGCAGGCTCTAATTAATATAAAAGGATGATTAGAGAAAAATAGGGGAGAATTGGGAAGAAAAACAAACTGACCGATTTTGGAGGATTTCAAAATTTGAAAACACTTATCTCAAAGGGTTTAGGATATGGAGCAATCCGGGAACACTAGTCATCATAATTTGTCTTTATCATCATCATCATCCTCTGCATCATACCATCATCACCTAATGGGACTTTCCAATCCTACGAATAAAAAACGGTAACTAAGCCATGCTTAACTTACACACACACACACACATTCTGAGTATGCATAAATATACAGATTGAAACCTCAAAATCCTTAGTACTCAACACGGTCGAATCATCTGTTCTTCATTGACTCCTCCTTCGGCAACCTTCTTTATACTCATACACGTGATGAACCCGCCGTGTCCCGATCGAAAACCCTAAACGACTCCCGCACGTCCTCTTCACTGCCGCTCCCCTCGTCGCCTCTGCCGTCTTCCATTGCCGCCGCGTACAGGGAATTGAACTCCTCGTCATCCACCTAGACATTCCCATTGGCGTCAATCTTCCCGTTCATCGCCTGCAACTTCTTCTCCGGCACGCAGATCCGGAGATTATCTAGCGACTCCTGAACTCCTTGCTTGGAAACCGTGAGGATTTATGGGAGATTAAGGCGTGATTTATGGAGCTGCAACGGCTAAAGAATTTAGACGGATCTCTTGGTGTTTGAGGAGAGATATGGAGAACCTAATTTATGGGGATAAATATGAGAGGGTGCAGATGTTTGGGGAGACGCGTGAATAGATTTCAATTGCAAGGTGTGAACAGATTTTCAGCCGCAATATAAAGAATCAAAATGTCAAATTGTACAGTTTTTAAAAGATGGGGAAAACGTAACAACAAAAAGGGTGTATAATCACCACCAAGATGCCAATCTTTGTCGTTAATAATAGTTGACTGAANTCCTACGAGATTGAGTGTTGATGATAGCAAAAATCAAACTTCGACGTTTTGATTGAGATATATAAAACCCTAGTTATGAGTAAGGTTTTGGCGAGAATAGATGTTTGAGAAAATCCAAGGAGAATATCTAGCAATGAGCAGGATGTAAATCGCACAGAAAAATGTGCAAAATTCAACACAGTCGGAAGGAAATCTAACCAAAAAGGATGAAGAAATTCAAACTTTTTTTTTTTCAGAATGATAGATTGCATTAATAAAAACACATATTTACAAGCGACTAACTAACATAATGAACCAATTGCATAGATGAATTATGATTGGAGGACATCGCAAGGGGAAGCTTAGTCAACCAAACACACCAACAATAATATAATACTTAGGCTTGTCAAACAGGCTCAGGTCTGTCATTAAAAAAATGTAAGTAAGTATGAATTTGGGCCATTAAATCGCTGCTACATAATACATATGGCTAAAGGACGCATAGACGGATATAACTTATAGCAATTCCACTTGGACGAGACACAATGTTTTATCACAAAATTGTCAAATATATAAAATTTCTAATACCAAAAAACAACCATCTATCAGAATACAAAAATTGCGACTTCAATACTTCATGATACCACAAATTAAAAGAACAAAAAAATCCTGGAACCACAAATAAAAAAAATTAAAACCATTCATATACATATAACTATGAATTTTTTTTAGAAAAAAAAAACATATACAAAGCCCATAAAAAACCAGCAAAACCACAAAATAAACAAAAAAATAAAATACATTCATATAATCCATAGAAATGGAAATATTCAAACCAGATATGCAATATTCAATACACAAAATTAAACTACAAATAAACCTATAAATTGTTATACAATATTCAAACACAAAATTAAACTACAAATAAACCCACAAATTTTATCTTTGGACCACGCGGGTTTCTTATCCAAACCCTCAGGGTCGAACGCAGCAGGTGGCGGCACGGCAAGGCGTGGGGCATCTGAATCTCGGACACTTTTTGTGTCTGGTGGAGGTGCGATCTGGAGAGAACCGACGGCAGATTCTGATTGAAGGCCTCCGAGAAAGCGACCAAGGTTTGTCTTGTTCGCGGAGATACGGCTGCGGCAGATCGTGTTCGGCTTTTCTTAGTTTATCATTTGAATTTGGGTTTTAGGATCTTGGATTTTGGAAGAGAAATAATGAATGGAAGTTAGAGGTCGTCTCTATAAACGAAAGAGTGAAGGAAATTTCTAGAGAAATGAGGAGTGAAATAAGTGCGGTAGGTATTTTATTGGATAGATGTGGAATAAAAATCTATAAGAGAAATTAACAATTACTCGTTTTATGGGAAATAAATTTAAAAGGAACCGTATGAGCCAGGGTAATTATTTCAATACATATATAACTATTACCATTTGGGCCATTAAGTCATGGTTGTCCTATACATATAGAAAATAAAAAATGAAATGTTTGATCACAAATTCTCCCATTCCCAAATCCAATCGGCAAAACAAAAAGAAGAAAAACCCTAGCGACATCCAATTACTTAAACAATGATGAGGTTGCGCAGATACACCGATGTGCGGGCTGCGTTTGACAGGCTGACGCGGATGACGACAGTTGTTAGGCGAGATGGGTTACAAACGGCGACGACATAGAGAGAGAGGGAGCGGTAGTAGACGTCAGGGTGGAGCGTGGTGTCGCAGCTGGAGCGAATGAATTCGACGGAGGCGGGGATGGTGGTGATGGAGTACGCATGGATGAAGAGGATGGTGAGTATGAGTGAATGCATCATTTTCATGGCCTAACTAAATCTTAAAAGTGTGTGAGTGTGTAAGTGTGTGTATGCTTTTGTGCGGGAGGGGTGTTTGTGTTGATGAAAGAGAGGCAGAGAATGCGGTTGAATTAATGGGAAATTGATGTTGTTTATCTTTTTGGATGGGCAGCCTACTTAGCCTGCGACCCGCGGTGGATGTGGGTCGGGTTGGCATTTTGAAGGTCTGCTTGCCCCACCAAACGACGGGTTTCGACGAACTGGGCCGTCCCCTCGATCCTTTTTTACATGATTAATGGTACTCCAACTATTTGAGAGATATGACTCCTACAAAGGAGAATACCACGCATAAGGATAAAAAAAAAAAAAATAGCACATTAACTATCATAAACAGAATATCGTCCTCCCCACCAGCCGGCCAGCCACAACGACCTTCCACAACTCGAACCACCAAGGGCGACCATCCAAAATGAAGAAAGCACGATCCAAAACTTGGATTGAAAAACTCCCTTCCAGCGACGACTAACTAGATCTGGACCAACGACCTGCCAATTATCACAGGAAGAAACGCCTGGAGGTCCACGTCCATCCCTTCCCCCAACACAATCCGAGGCAGCAGCCCACGCTTGGGGAAGAAGACCGCCTCTGCCGGAGGTCTCCCGCCATCCCAACTCTAGAGAAAGGATGCGTACAAGAAAGAGGAGGACACAAGCCACAACCCTAACCGCCGAAAAATGTCAATTGTCGTCGGCCACAACATCATCGCCGACAAGACGTTAGAAGGCCCTCCCGCAACCCCTCCAGGCTACCCAAACAACAGGTTCGCAGTAAGAGAACCGAAGACCGCAGGAACGTCCGCTGCTAGCGTAGGTGGCATTCTAAGTCGCGGGGTGGCGGAGCCACCGCTGGTAAGAGGGCACATGAGAAGTCGAAGATTAGGGTTTTTTTATAGGATTTGGGGCTTTTCTGATCCCTAAAAAAGTAACCATCACGTGGGAATCCAATGGGTGGTTACTTGTGGGAGAGGAGGAAATTGTATGATAGTGCAACATCCTGACGAAAATTTGACACTTGTCCTATTTATTGTTATGATTGTTTTTTTTAAATAAAAATCCATCAGGAAAGCTGTTTTGTTGTAAATCATGGTTGAATGACCTCCCTCCAATTTTTTCATCCAGCGCCTTTCCAAAACATTTCTAACTTTAGGGAATTAAGGTGTCATTC